CCCAGTCCAGACTTTTTTTTTCTATTTTTAGTTTAAATCTGTCACATTTCCACTGCTATTTTTCTAGCCACAAAGTACAACTTCTATTGCTAATACTAAGCTTTTGCTCACTGCCCCAACACTTCCAATACAGTCGAGTAAAAAAAAGGTCTTGTTGCCCAGGAGGGTATCACAAGATCCTGCTGAAGAAAGGTCTTCTTTACATACTTGACAATCTCCTCTTTCACTTTTCTTCACACCTCAACATCCCCATGACTGGGCCTTAACTCCTTCTCCATTGTTTTTTGCAACCATTCACAAGGGGACAGATTCTTGCTGCAGCAGGGAAACTCTCTCAGACCTGACTGCTGCACATCCAGCAAGGAGGAGCTGTAACCAGTTTATATTCATGCAATAAGTTTTATAAACCTATTTGGTAAAACCTGGGTTTAAGCGAACCTGCCCCATTCACGGTTCGTGAAATGGGGGAAATTTATCCACCATAGCATCCAACCACCAATAATGTACTTTGTGGCCTTTGAGCCATGAGTCAGATGGCTTTGGAAGATAAATAGAGGGGTGTTGGAGAAGTCAGCAACCGCACTATAAAAGGTTGGGTTCTCGGAAGCCATTTTGCTTAGCTATAATAGTGAAAGCATGCTGTGCTGCTAAAAAGCGCATAGGGACATATTAGTTAGAGGGCTTGCTGGCAATGATTTCTTAAAGTATATGTAAACCTTTCCCCTGTGTACTGTAGGTAGCAGAATGTTGTGTATCTTGGGAAATATGGGGGTGCAGGGATTAAAGGGTTTTGACATCTTAATGCTATTGATGTCCTACAGCTTCTTTACAGCCTGTCCCTGTCTACATGTATTACAGTCATTGCAGGCTGCATGTGTTTTTTGCTGGTTGCAATTGTTTTTTTCCCAGCCTGTCTCTCTTCACATGCTCTACAGACATAACAGGCTGCATGTGTAATATTCCTGGGGAATATACATCAGTATAGAAGCTTATTTTTTCCATTGGTGGCATGTGACAGGGTGCTTTACAGATAGAGTTTATGGACATAGGGGAAGAGCACCCAAACGGGGACTTTTAGATCAGCATCATCAGCAGCTTATATGAGATTTAATGGTAGGGTTTACATTTACTTTAACAAACTATGCATCATGTCTTTGAGTGGCAGTGCTGGTAAAGATGTTTTTATGTGATACACCTGTGTACACAGATCTATAAACCAAAAAATAATTTTAATATTCAATATTTGTCCACAACAGGTGATTAATTGCTAGCTCTTCAATTGTTAACACTTTAGCTCTTTTTTTATTAATTTGGGTTGTTTCCCCTTTTTTTGCATCCTTTGAAAGAAAAAACAAATTAGTGCCTGAACAGCTTGCACCTAAACTAGCTTACATTATGTCACTCAAATTCACTACATAGACCAGTTAGGCCTGTTATCCCTAATTAAATCTTTCCTGCTGCCGGACACTTTTAGAACTCTGTATGCTCTGTAGTATCTTAATTTTTATAGTAAAAACTTGGCCTGTGTTCTTTGTCTCTAGTACATTATGCTTAGTCTTGCTATTTAAAATTGCCTTGTTGCTGACCAGATCTGGATCCCTCCCCTCTCCGATCCTCCAGCGCTGAGTGAAGGAACGAATGGGGAGGGGGCGGGCACAGCTGGCTCTGCCTCTAGATAGGCAGAGCCAGCAGTCACTCACGCAGCTGGGTGGATCTCGACAGTAATGTCGGGATCCGTCCTGGCTGCGGTGCTCACATTATATTGCCCGCGCTATACTGAGCTTTGGGTCACGGGAGGACACTAGTATATGTCCTCCCTTGACCCTAAACAGAACTATGGGGAAAAACACTTACACCATAGTTCTGTTTTAATCTATTCCAATCCATCAACGTAGAAGGCTCCTTCTTTTTCCAATGCAAGACCACCATTTTCCTTGCAGAAAACAGCTACACTCCAAGCAACATTTAATGAGCGTTCGTGGCGGCGATCTGCTCCGTCAAGCCCAGTATGCAAATTGAGATCTTCAAAGAAACTGGGAGGGCCATTATCTGCGGGATAAAATGTGTGACATCCTTCCAAAAAGTATATATTCCTAGGCAATCGCAAAAATATATATTGAAAAACAACAAACTGTACAGAACATCTCCAACAAGTATAGGAGTCATCTTTAAAAATCCTTGCAAGCTGAGCAGGTGTATAATAAATTCTATGCAATATTTTAAATTGGATATGTCAGTCTCTGGTCGAGATCAAGTAAGAAAAGGGATAGTCCCAAACATCCTCCTAATAATCTTTAGAGAGAGTGGGGACATCCATTACCCACTTCCGCTTGGAAGGAAGATCATGTAAGTGAGCAACAGTAAATAAAGCCCAGTACACTGCTGACAGTGGTTTCTGTAAGTTATCCTGTCTAAGCAGATTTTCTAAAGGTGACATTGAAAGGGAGCACACAAAACCCCCAAATTGGTAGTGAAAGACGTGCCAAATCTGAAGGTAGCGGAACAAATACACATCAGGGAGACAATATTTCCCTTTTAATTAATCAAAAGTCATGAGCAAACCAGCCAAAGTCAGATCCCCAAAGTCTTAATTTGTTTTGTATTGGTGCATGTCCCCAATGGCAGTGCTGAGCTCTTCCCTGCGTGAATCAAACCCAGGCACATTCACCTATCCTTAATATATATCTAAGCATAAGGGCATTTAGAGGTAATAGCAGTTACCTTTCTAGTTCAATCAGCAGACAGCTATGTTTTTGTAAACCAACCAAAAGCCAAACATTGATTCTTTGTATAGGGGAATTCTGTGCATGGTTGCTGGCAGAATTCTCCAATAAATGCTATTTCCTGTGCATGTGATTGGCTCATACCTAGTTCCAGTGGTATTTCTCTTATTACAACACTGTGGCTGATCATGTGAATATAGAAGTAGGCCCATTCAACTGAAGCAGTTGGAAGGGGGTACTAGAAGTAATTACTGAGAAAAATACATTTATAAGTGTAAAAACAAATGGCAGTAGGTAATAATGTGCAATAAAGTTGGCTAAACTACTTGTAATCTTTTTAACTTAACAAGAAAGTATTTTTTAATTTCTCCCTGCAAAAGTGGAATAATACTTTGAAATACAACATTACTGCTTTAAGCAGTTACTTGATATGTATTAAAATCATTATGTTTTAAATTTTGTTAGAATTAAAATATGCTATTAATATTTTAACAGCATGTGCAAAAATAGGTCTTGGGTATGTGACAGCAAGCCAGAAAAAGCAATATGTACTGTGTATGGACAAGGACATCATATAACCTTTGATAATAAGCGCTTCACGATTAGTGGAAACTGTGAATATACTTTGGTTCAGGTAATTCAGATGTCCACTGTAATGAATGAATAATATTTTTTTTATTATGTATCTATTTATATGTATTGATTGTGCATTCTCTTAGGACTACTGTGACATTGATGATTTACAGAAGGGAACCTTTAAAATTATTACAGAGAATATACCATGTGGGACAACAGGAACCTCCTGTTCTGTGGCCATTGCAGTGTATCTAGGGGTAAGACAATTTTCTAGCCACTGTATATATATTATAAAAATGACAAGTGTCTGTCTCTCTATCCTTGCCCCTATAGTGTCTCTGTAGGACGTTTCTGCTACTATCCTATGCCAGTTGGCTAAACAAAATACTGGACTCTCTACCAGTCCATCCATGTTCAGGAATGTCCTAAATGCCTAATGATACAGTACCTTGCTAATTAACATCTCAAAATGTTTAGAATACCCACAATACTTTGTGGACCTCCTAGGTTAAATATGCAGTGGCAGTTGTAGTGGGACATGAGGTAAAGTGATACTTTATATGAATAATCTCAAATTAATAAAAATAATATAAAAAACAAAATACAGACACCACACAAATGCTGTAGTTTTAATGACCATGGACTTCTATTACTGAGGTTTATTAGATATAAGGAATTATGATTCATTTCTACTGCCAAACAGCAACTTGTGATCGTGACTGTTGCCATTTTTTTGATTAGTAAGTTTGAGGCTTGTGGAGATTGCTCCTCCCTTTGGTTCCCTATGGCTCCAATACACTCAATAAACCCCACATGGTTTTCTGGTTCCAACCATAAACAGTAAATGCTTATCTTTTCTGCTGTCCTTGCTGCCAGATGCTTTTCTGATTCTGAGAAATAGGGTCCACAGGGAATCTGATACTTTCACAGTGTTGATCTCCTGGGTCCCATACAGCTCTTCCTACTTCTTCCTTCATGTCACAACAAGGTTTTGAAGTGACATGGCTGTCAGCAGGAAAAAAACTGATGATGGGTTTGTATTTTTTTACAGGTTTGTTGGACTTAGCAACCTTTGTGATAGGTTCACTTTAATTTGCACCTCATGCCTTCTTATATTTCTGGTAGACTTTAATAGTGAAAGCCCTTTGCCATAGTATCTGGGTCTGTCCCTTGTTTACTTGAGTTCTCAGTTTTATTGCCATAAAATGTATGTTTTCCAGTGCCCCTGCTTCGTCTGCTGAATTGTTTGGAGAATTAAATATAAAAATAGCAATATGAGTGTAATCATTTCATGATTATCATGGCAGGTTTGAAAAACGTGGAAGCTCAAGTGCAAAGGCCTCATCATCATATGCCAAGGCATAAATAATTTGGGTGACTTTATAATGTAGCAAAAATGGGAATATTACTTTTGAGTGGCTTGATGTGTTAATTTATTAGAGTGGTATTACCGTCTTAGTACTTCAAATGTTTCAACAGTAGTCAGTGTAGTTTTGTCTGGATTACCATAGCTAAGGAGATGTCCAGTTTCACCAGTTGGATCTAGTATGAATAACTCTGTTTAACCCTCTATGCCAACCAGATTGCTGTGAGAATTTTATTTCCATGTTGTCAAATATTTTGTATACTATATCAGTGCTTAACAAAAAAAGTAAATATGTTAAACTTTCTTTGATTAGGCTCATAAGCTTATTCTCGCAGATGGACATATAGATGTAATGGAAACATCCAGTAATATTGAAATCCCTTACATAACTCGAAGTATGGGTATATATTTCGTTATTGAGACCAATAATGGACTTGTTTTAGTATGGGACAAGATGACAAGTATTTCAATTCATCTAAACAGGAGCTATCAGGTAAAATATAAAATCACCATATGCTTTTTAGTGACTGGACAGAATTAATCTGATTTCGCTAACAGGACTGTGCAAAGCAATAAAGCCTAATTGTCTCAAAATACTAACCCACCATTTCCCTATCTGGGTGCTGCTGTACAATACTTTATAAATTGCCAAAACCTAGAATTCTGATACTCATTGCAGCTTTATTTATATACATTGAATATTGGAATACATAGTGGAATTAAAAGTGTTTTTAATCTGCCTTGACTTCAGTTTTTATTACTTTTTTTATTAAGCATCATAACTTTTCAAAAAAAGACCCATGTGTAGCCAGATGTGTGGACATTTAATTTGGGCAAATACAAATTAAACATAAACAAACTCAAGCCCAACTTTAGCTAACACTTTGAAAGTAAATACAGCAACAGTTTTTTCTTAAATTGGCAATAAAAGTTAAAACGCATGAAAAAAAACCCGACAGTCTTATATGGTAAATGTTACTTTGCCTTGACACACACTTTCAGTAAATTAAGCTGGAGAAGGCAGCAGGTAAGTGATTTGACCCAAAATCACTGGTTCAGTTAAAGGCAAAGTTTGAGATAATCTTTAAAAATGTTGCGCTTATATCTGGAATATATAGGTAATAAAGCTGATAAAAAAACCTTCATTCCTCAAACTCAACATATTTTAGGTATAAACCTTTTTCATGAAGTGTTTTCTTATCTACTTCTAACACAGGGCAAGGTCTGTGGTCTTTGTGGAAACTTTGATGGAAACAGGAAAAATGATTTTACTACAAGGAGTCAGTGTTTAGTAGAAGATGTGAAAGAGTTTAGAGACAGCTGGAAAATATCTACAGACTGTCCAGAAGTTTACATATCCAAGGAACCATGTGCTATTCACCCGTACAGGATGCCATGGGCACAGAAAAAGTGCTACATTATTAAAAGTGATGTGTTTGCAAGATGCCATGCGGAGGTACTAGTCTTAATTTAATACCCATGACACTGCAGGTGAAGTAAAATGAAAGGCTCTTCAGCCAGCAGGTTTTAAATTGTATCTCTAGGCAAAAAAAAAATATTTTAGTTTTGGATAGAGTGTGTAAGGGTTTAACCCTCTGGAAGGGAACATCTTTCAAAGGGGACATTGATTTTAGGGACAACTGGCTAAGAGGGAAATTCCCCTCACTCTGGGAGATTTCCTCTAACGTCCTGATTCATCTCTGAGAAAGGAAACAAAGAGGAAATTTCCCCAATGGTACATGGAGATAAAAAAAAAACCTTGCAGAAGTTTTAACCCTACTCTACTCTATCCAAAACAAAACCAAAAAAATATATTTTTTCAGTAAAACATTCAGTAAAACACGTGTTACTGCAACACATGACAACCCACCTGCGCTATGGGCAGTGCATTGCAGTGCAATTCATTGTGAATAGCACTGTAACACATTGTGCAGTAGATAACAATGCACCACAGCACAGTACAGCACAGTGCAAGTTTTGCGAGTTTTTGGTGCACTGTATTTCTAAAGCCTGTTACTTGTGTTTTTTTGAGCAATTGCGTTGGCAGCCCATGCATTTTAGCGTATGCATTGCAAGAGTGGCAGCAAAAAAAGTACAACTTGCTGTACCTTGATGACTTTGCAATAAAATAATCAATTTAAATTAAATGCTGAACATAAATCTCTTTACTGTCCATTGCCTTTGATGCTAAAATTGTAATTGAATCTTCTTTATTCGCCTACAACTGTCAATTACTTCTCTCTTTTGGTGTGTTAACTCTTTATGTTTTTGTGTCCCAGGTCAACCCTCAAGAATATTATGAGGCTTGTGTCAGAGATACATGTGCATGTGACACTGGAGGAGATTGTGAATGTTATTGTACAGCAGTTGCTGCTTATGCTCAAGCATGTAGTGAAGCCTGTGTATGTGTAGAATGGAGAACTGATACTGTCTGCCGTGAGTAGAGCTGTAAGAAAAATTAGGCCGTGATCGTTTTTTAGATAATGCAAGAAACTGCATACATTTCTTTCTTGAGTGTAGAGGCTGCCTCTGATTCTATTATATCAGGAACCTAAGCATAATCTCTACTCCCCTTATTTATCATCTACATGCGCCTAATCTGTTCTACACAGAAAAGGGAAACACTTAACACCTTTAAAGGCCTTATTTGAATTTAGAGAAATCTTTTTTAGATTTTGTTCAGCCTGGAGACTTAGTTATTTTCTGGTTTCCAGCACAAAAGGTCCTTTAGGCTTAGCAGCAAACAGATTTTAGAGTTTTAGTGCTTATTGTGATTAAAGTGTACCTTTACTTAACTGTTGTGCTACAAACTGGGATCAGTATGTTAGGTACCTAGAGTAATCCTTTCAAGCATTTTGGAAACCCCTAAACCCAGCCCCAACTTTAACTAGGGAAATGGTGTTTGGCCCACTCCTTCTAATGGGCAGCCTTAACGACCAGTAGTGAGTAACAAGAGTGCAGCACTGACCATCGAAGGAGCTACTGAATTGTAACAGGCCCCTCTGGGGTTTTAAAGGAGACATGCCCTTTAGCTGCACCCAAACACTCACTGACCCAACAAGAGTGTCAGACAGACAGACTTCAACAACCTTCTCTTTGCAGAGTTTATTGGCTCAAATGTGTAGGAGATAGAGGGTTGAGAGTACATGATACACTAAAACAGCAGAAAAAAATGTCCCCTACTGTTTTGCATCTTCTCAATGAATTCTTAGCATCTTTGTGCCTCTGCCACAGGGTACTGCACATAAGGCCAAATAAAAAGCTACCTTTAAGTATCTTTCACCCCTCTCACAAGATAGTTTTTCACATTTAAGCCAAGACCAGCAATCGATTAGGCAAACTCTTTAGCTTCCTTGCCCTGGTAGCAGGCTGGAAAAGCATGAATTGGAATTCTCTCTAGAGCTTTATCTCCTACACCCAGCAGGTCTGAGAGACAAAGAATCACATGCTACACAGGCAGCAAGCTTGGAAGGCAAACAATGGACCCTTCACACATTCATCCTCTCCAGGAAAAGCTTAGGTGGGAAGTACCCTTTTTGAATAACTCCTCAAATATTTATACCCTTCCTCAGCCTATGTCAATGGCATAAACCTTTTATTGACTGTCCGATGAAATACCAATCATTACCTACAACATTGTAAATATGTCCACTGGAGAATATTTCCCAGTAGAAGGCAGAAGCAAACAATGTCCTGGGGCTAGGAAAGACCTAATAAACCCAGATAACATAATCAATCAGCTGGCTGCAGCATAGATGCAAACACTAAATTGGGACACTTCAGCTTATGTCAGGGTCCTTACAAGATGTAGGGCACTAAATAGTCAAGTTGAAGTTGCTATTTACATATTACAGAACCATGACTTTTGTTTGTTCCTGAAAGCTCTAGAAAAGTGGTGGTTCTCAACCCTTCTGGGGCCAGGACCCCTTGGTAACATTTGCCAAATTGTAGTGACCCCCAACAGTATAATTATTATACTTTAATATCATTATATTTTCTCATTTTAATTTTTTTACATTTTTGTTTATCTTATTATCTTTTTCTTTTTTATAATTTTAATTTTTATTATGGTTTACTTTGTATCTCTTTTTTAATTATTATTTATCTTTGTATTAATTTATTGATTAATTTTTTAGCAGAAGGCATGCAGCGACCCACTCAACAGGGAGTTGCGACCCTCTTTTGGGTCACAACCTACAGGTTGAGAACCACTGCTCTAGAAGACTAAGCTAAAGTAGACAATTTGATGTCAGTTTGCAGACAGGCGGGTAATCACAAGTGCACTTTAATTACCACTTTCTGATGAGCATCATCCTGTTGCCAGTTTGCAGAAACAGAGTTAAATACAAATTAAAATTAAGGCTACCATGGGTTAAAAAAACAGATCTTCCCCTGTACCTTTTCTGACTGTGAGGGGCTAAGTCTGTGGGGGCTAAGTCTGTGGGGGCTAAGTCTGTGGGACCGGCAGCCTCAATTCCATCGGCAGAATAAATAAGGGAAATTTAGTTATGTTTAAGTCCTTTATGGACTAAAGAAGATAGTCCATGGTAGGTAAAATATCTTAGAGCATTGGAAACAAACTGAATTTCTTCTTTTCAGGGCCATACCCTTTACCCAATGTTGCCCGGAAAATGTTCTTACCTTTTCAATACTTCAGACTTTTTTTTTCCTTGTTGTGGTTTCAAAACCAAAAACATAATTTCCAGTACATTCAGAAGACTCATACAGTGTTTAAATGGGTAAATGCTATGTTTTGCCATGTATGCCATGCACATCTATGATACATTAGAGTGATATTTAATGTTGTCTTTTCATGCCTGTATATTTTTCTCACACTCCAGCTCTGTTCTGTGATATATACAACAATGATGGGCAATGCCAATGGCACTACAAGGCTTGCGGTGCTGTTTGTTTAAAAACATGCAGAAATCCCAGTGGCATATGTCATTGGGAAATTAAAGGATTAGAAGGTAAGATACATTAAAATGTGACTTCACAGTATTTCAAGCTTTTCACAATTGTAAAAAAAAATATTGTCTTTAAAGTTGTAGATCGTCACAGGCTTGGCAATTTCTCGAAAACTGGATTACAAGTTGTTTTCCATTCCCGACCTTGTTCCACATTTTTATTTGATTGACAAACTTCTGTGATGCTTGGAGTTTACTATTTTGTGCACCAAGCACATTCAGGGGAGATGCTTCTTAGGCTTAAGCTTTAAGAGGTTCCTCACCTGAAGGTGGTGGGCAGACAGGGAGATGCTGGATGCAGAGAGGTGGGTGTGCAACTGACAATGTTTCAGGGTTATTGTTCCCTTAATTAAGTAAAGTCCAATCTGTAGGACATTTTTTCAGTGTTTGAAATACACCAGAATATACTGTTACTATGTCTTTTTGGCACTAGATGGTGCTGTGGTGCAGTGTTGGTCTCTATGCTTATGTATGCTTTTCTGTGATACATAGGAAGTTCTATTTGTATATATGTTTCCTTCAACAATGCTGTATAATGCTGTATTCATGTATACGTACATGTAAAGGCCTGCTAAGCAAGTAAAACTTAATTCAGTATTCCTAAAGCTCTCAGTGTTTCAACTAAACACGTAACCAACAGTCAGGTGCACCATCACCTCTCTGCTTCCAGATGTCCACTATATAAACATCTCCTTACTATGGTGATCTGGTTTTGTATATTGTACACATGCACTCTCTCCACATTGTTTCATATGTATTTAACTGCTCGGCTTCTCTGCTCCTTTATATAGCTCAGGACCATTGGAGAGAGTGACCTGTGTTCATGTATTATTCTCTGTATCTATTTTTGCACTGCCTTCTATATCAGATTTTTGTATACTATTTATATGACAAGATTTTGATATAATATATGCCTATTTCAAATATCAAGCTGTTTGGGGTGCTTTTACTTGCCATTTGTTCCAGATACCACTTTTCTACTAGTTGATATTTGTTTCCATTTTTTTGCCTATGTTATCTCATGCTTTAACGGGTATGTTTTTAGTTACATGATCTTTATTCAGCCTTCTTATCTTGTTAAAAATGAATGCATAAAAACAATTTTTCACAGAATACCAACATATTGGTTTGTAATTATGATTATGTAGTTATTTCCATTGTTTTTTATTTCCAAGTGGTTCTTCTTTATCTGATTTATTGCAGGATGCTATCCCAAATGTTCAAAGGAGAGGCCATACTTTAATGAAGATGAAATGCAGTGTGTGGCTGACTGTGGCTGCCTGGACAATACATCCAATTATTACAAACTTGGAGAGAAAATTGAATCCTGCAACATCTGTGAAAGCTGGTACAAAGTTTTGCATTTTGTAGATTCATGATGTCCCATGTGGCACTTGAAATTTTTCAACATTAAAAAAATTAGATAGTATAACTACATACCGTTCCAGTTCAAAATACAGGCCGTGGATTGCCTCACTGTAGGCACCCTAATTTCACCCATTCCCCTAGGGTACGTATTATAGGCACCCTAATTTCACCCCTCCCCCCAGGGTATGTTTTAATAAAGCTGGCATTGGTACAATGACCAGTAAAGTATCTAAATTGTTTAGATACTTTACTGGTCATTGGTCATAAAGGAGCACAAATGTAACTTGTTTAGTCACAACGCGTTTCGCAGGTGGCTTCTTCTGGGGACCCGTATTTATAGATCATGCACACTCTGCAGGCTCAGCTGGTTTTGCTGGATGGTGGAGACTGCAGTAGGAGATTCTGTGCTCGTGCAATTTAGGGTGACCAAGTAGGATATCTTTCCTTATCGGCCAAGATTCATTCCAACAAACATCTCCCTTGACCTAACATCCCTGCATAAATACGGGTCCCCTGAAGAAGCCACCTGCGAACCGCATTGGGACTAAACAAGTTAGATACTTTACTGGTCATTGTACCAACACCAGCTTTATTAATATGATCATGTTAGCACAAGTATATAGCTATGGACTATTAATGTACATACTGGGCATAGGTCTATTTGAACTCTCTGACAGGCATTGTATCATGAATCATGTTTTGTAATCAATTTTAACTTTTATTTATTTATATGCAGGTTTAAATAAAATGTGATAATATTATACATATTTATATATGCATGGTCTATTTTACCCCTCCAGAAGCCCTAATATTTTCTCCTAATTTTCTTACTCTACATACTGTTCCAGTATTGGTGGAACCATCCAGCTTTTTGTATGTGTGTGAGGGCAGGGCTTGAGGGAAAGTGCTCAAAGATGTCCAAGATCTAGATGTTGCAAAACTGAGGAAGATAATCCTCACGGTTATTTTAGATCAGTACTCTACAGGACAACAGGAAAAGGCTGAACTGAGATATTGAAGCAGGATTGCTACACTCACACTGATGTTTTTCATGTTTTAGTAACATTTTATTTGTAAGTTTATGATCTGCTATCTATCTCTATAAACATTTGTTTCATTAGAAATCACACTATATATACAAAAAAACATTTGTTTTAATGCACCATAACAGTGAATGTATCCTTAACATGGAGGAAAGCATCCTTCAGATGGCATGTTTCACAGCACTTAGTGGGTGCTGTACCAGTATAGCTACAGGCATTAAATGTTTAATTAATCATAACTTTTTAATGTAATTGTGTGAATCAGTTTTACACTAAATAAGTAGATTTAGCTTCTAATGAAATGTATATGTGGTAAAATGCATCAAAAACAAACATTAATGATAATGGATTCTTAAATGATCAATAAAGATACACAAAACTTACTATAAAGAAAAATATAATACTTTTTACCGAAATGTATTAAAACATTCTAATTTCAACATAGAAATTAAGAAATTAAGCCTGGGTTAACACTGTCATGTGGGCATTAATGTAGCATGCAAAAACGCACAATGGTGCGCTGAAATGTAATTCATTTTTTATGGAATCCATAATCCTTGCCAATGGATGCACATTACAGTGTACCATGGTAAGGCACTTATTATATTATGTTATATTTACCTCTATCTACCATTATTAAGGGGAAAAGTATACAAATTTGAAATATAAAGCTCTTCTTTAACTTCTTTCAAAGTTCCTTTTTGGTTGACTTTTGAAACTTTTCACATATTTATCCACAAACTGTATGGTTTGTAAAGTGTCACAGGATATCAGGGCATCATGAAAAGAATGTGATATAGCAAGTAAGCTTAACCGTCCTGACAAAGTATAATTAATAAGCCATCAAATCAGATTTTTTTGTCAGATACCTTATTGCCCCCCTCCCCCCCTCCCACTACAACTGTGATGTGGAAGGTGAAGGATCCTTTTTGAGAAAGGATTGGGAGTGACCTGAACTGTTTGTGAAAATACAGTCCAATTTGTATCCCGCTGCTCTTGACTATCATTGCTGATGCATGCAGGCAGATATAAGAACGTATTTCTGCTGGATTGAAAATTGAGGTCCTCATGCTCATTTATTGATAAAATGTATCTGCCAAGTGCATCAGGCATTACCTGGTGATCCTATCATTCCATAACATATTTTAAAGGTCTCCTTGTGTCAGTTGCCTATATTATTACAACCTGCAAGGGTTATAAAGCAACCATCTATTTATGGTTGGCCTGTATGTATTTATTATTTATATATTCAACATTATGCTTGTTTTCCTGAACTTATGTTGGGTATTTTGTCTTTCAGCATTTGCACAGAAAAGGGGATTCAATGTCATTATGACTCCGATGGTATGCTAAGCTTCAGAAATGAGAAAACAATACACCATCAATGATATATTATATGTGAAATCAAGAAAGTTGTATAAAACAGACCTGTGCTCAAAACTATTATGCAAGCTTGTGTTGGAAGTTGATGGGGCCGTTAAGATTGCACTAAACTGTAAATTAACAATATTTACATCCGTTTTTCCACTGTAAATGTCCTCCAATGGCTCCCTCCACTTGTTGCTTTTGGAAAGAGATGGGAAGGATTAGGGCCCCTATCTGTGTTTTACTGCTATTAGCAGCTTAGTTAGAGAGGTTTTCCCCCACTTTGTCAGGCTGACATCAGTTTGCCTAGAGAGGAAGTAAGGGTAAATCTGCAGCAGGCACATAGAAATTTTAAAAAATATGACAGTGGTCCTAGTTTCTTTAAACTCTACTAAAAAATGTTTCATTCTGTGTTGCTGGAGAGACTATCTCAATTTTTGTCTGGTAAAACATTGTCGACTGACAGGAAGTGAAGGGAAACCTCTCTAATGCTGCCCTAGATATCAGTAAAATCTGAAAGGGGTTCTAAGCCTTCTTAACCCTATTTAAAACTAAGCAAAAAAGTTTTGGTAGGACGAATAATTTTTTAAAGAATATTTTTGCAATGCAGAAAATGCAAAGTTTAATTTCTAATACCTTGTTGTACACATTTATATTGAAAGAAATATATTTTTCAATTGTATGAAAGTACTGTATGTTACTACAAGGGATGAGCAAATGTGCCTGGGTTCGGTTTGCAGGATATTCGATAAACCCATAGTTAAGTCCAAAAACTGTAAACTTTACTACGAGTTCCATTGAAGTGTATGGGGGAGAAATCTTTAAAACAAATCAGTTTTTCCCATTTTTAAAGCTAATAAGTAAGGGGTTATCAAGCAAATGCATAAGGTGCTTAGCACTGGCATAAGGGGCATGTACCAAAACAAAAAAATTAAAAGGCAGCATGGGTGAAACAACATTACCATCAATTGCATGCTTTGGAGATGGTAATTAAGGATGAATTTCAGGTTTTGGGTCACCCATGAGTCTGACCCAAACCCAAATCATTCACAGTTCAAGAAAATGGTAATGTAGGAGGAAGAGCTGGACCACCAGCTTTTGCGTGTGTGCCAGTGTCAGGAACTTGTAGGTAATATATATATGTATGGAGCCCAATTGTAGACATGTGCACCAGCAAAAAATTTGTTTCGTTTTGATTCTAATTTTGCGTTATTTTGTTTTACGAAATTCGGGTCCGAAAGTCAATTTGTTTCGGAATTCGGACTAAATTCGTTAGCGTAATCCGTACGAAAGTTCGTTTTGTTTTCGTTTTGTTCGTTCATTGCAGCAGAGTGACATTTAAGAGGAAAAAAAAGTTTTTTGTTCTCAAATGTCACTGTGCTGCAACTAAATTTCGTCCAAAAAACGAAAGTTCGTCCAAAAAAACGAATCAGAAATTCAGAATCGGAAATTCAGATTCGTTGGCATTCTTTATATCTGTAATTCGGAATTCGGATACATCCGAATCTCTGAATTTCCGAAATTTCGTCCGAATTTTGATTCGGAGTGAAATGAATCGCACATGTCTACACAATTGCGAGGAATGAACACACATGGAGTGGATGTGCCATGAATCAATAACGTCAAGCCGATAAGGGAAGTCCAGTTTTCGTAGTCAAATAACAGACCAAGGTCAATGCAGGCGGAGGAGGTTCTCATGCAGTTATACAAGCCAAGGTCAGTGCGGGCAGCTGTGGTTCAGAAACGATAAACAAGCAGGAATCAGGAGTCAGGAATACAGGAACAAGGGTCTGAATGCTAAGAAGTCAGAAACACAGGCCTGAACTCTGGGAAGCTCACTAATAACTGAGCACTGTGCTCTCTGAGCAGCAGTGCTTTATAGGAAATTCCAGTAATGGCACTTCCCAGAACTCACCTCAGGCGACCTGAGTCCACACCTCCCAATTATTAAATTTAAAAAAACGTTTACAATATTACTATTGTGATGGAGTGTGTTTAGAAAGGACTCAGATGTATATAGTTAATAGATATTTATTTAAATTCTTGTTTTTTCTAAAAATCATGCAGTTCAATAAAAGATTATTATCAAATTCCCTTGTAGTGATACTCATGTGTATCTCAGAATAACATATCGCTAACTCTAAGACTATTGCTGATACGTATATTTGCAAACCATGTTACATACATTTGTTATACATTCATATACATATTCATATTTGATAACGTTCTTTGCAGATATATTAGTAATTGATCAGTCCCCTACGCGTTACCCTCACAAAGGCTTCTTCAGGGGGTGTTTATTTTGTATGTTTGTATATATCAATGTTTATGATGCAGAACGCCCTCCCATAGGAGAGGATTGAGAAGACATTGTAAAGGCAAAAAATGGTGGCTGGGTACGGTCCACTGTGGTACAGCACAGGCAAAAACTCACAGAAGAGAGTTAGCTGCATCAGCTGGAAAGGAAGCTGCTAATCCTAAAGGAGATTGAGGATTAGGTGTATTTGTGCAAAAAATGTGCTGCACAAGTACGTGGTGATGTGCCGCAAACAAAGGGCAGCTACAAGTCAGT